CTTGAGATGGAAATCGTGTTTCTGAGGATGACTTTCCATTTCAAAGGTATAAAAAGCATCTGAGAAACTGTAAATTAAAAAAAAAAAAAAAAAAAAGCCTTGAAGGGAAAGGGGAAAGGTCAGTTTGTTGTGGCTGTGTGTAATCCTGGCAGTGGCATCTGTTCCCTGTTATTGTTATAAAAATCTGGTTTCATTAGGTTTGGGATGAATCACGGGCTGGGGAGCTCTGCTGGAGCTGGCTCACAGTGGGCTCATCCTGTCACAGTGCATATGTTGGGAATCTGGCTGGGGCAGGCAGAGCTCCAGGAGCCTCACAGCCCTGGGGGATGCAGGACAGAGCCTTTGCTCCTCAGCCCTGCTTGGAGCCAGCTGGGGCTGCTCAAGGATGGAATTCAGAGCTGGCTGGGATGGCTGGGCTCTGCCTCACAGGGTGGCTGTGTCTCATCAGCTCGGGGGCACAGCGGGGACAGCCCTGCCTGTGCCACTGCTTTGGCACAGAGAGGCACAACGGAGCTGGGTGGGGTTGAGACATGGACAGTGTGGGGTGAGACATGGACAGTGTGGGGTGAGACATGGATGTCTGGGGTTGAGGAATGGATGGTGTGGGGTTGAGAAATGGACATCTGGGGTTGAGGAATGGATGTCTGGGGTTGAGACATGGATGGCCTTTTTCCCCCTGGGAGGAAGAGGCAGAAGGGGTTGAGCATCTGCTGCCACAGCTGGGCTGGAAGGGCTGTGGCCACATGGCCCCATCCCGTGTGGGCTTGGGGGAGCCACAGGGAGCTCCTTGTGCAGCTCCTGGCTCAGCAGAGAGCTCCAATTCCTCCTTTCCCAGTTCCTACCCCAGCAGAGAGCTCCAATTCCTCCTTTCCCAGCTCCCTCCTCAGCAGAGAGCTCCAATTCCTCCTTTCCCAGTTCCTACCCCAGCAGAGAGCTCCAATTCCTCCTTTCCCAGCTCCTTCCTCAGCAGAGAGCTCCAGTTCCTCTTTTCCCAGCTCCCTCCTCAGCAGAGAGCTCCAATTCCTCATTTCCCAGCTCCTACCCCAGCAGATATCACCAATTCCTCCTTTCCCAGTTCCTTCCCCAGCAGAGAGCTCCAATTCCTCCTTTCCTAGCTCCTTCCTCAGCAGAGAGCTCCAATTCCTCCTTTCCCAGCTCCTACCCCAGCAGATATCACCAATTCCTCCTCACCCCCATCCCCAAGAACTGAAAAACCCCTGCAGGACAGTCACTAAAATCTGCTTTTCTCAGAAAGTGCCATCCCATCCCTTGCATTTCTCTGGCTCCCAATTATACCTTTATTTTTCCTGCTTCTTGCTGTTAAACCCTTAACTTTGAGCATTGCCTTTGAAATCTGTATCTGGTGGAGGTTTGCAGTCACTTGTTGCTTGAACCTTGATTATTACCCAGCAACTCCAAAGGGGTCAGCTCTGGTTTGGTGCTTCTGGAGCACGGATTTTGTGTTAATTGCATGGGAATCTGTTAATTATCTGGGAAATCTGAGTGAATGGAATAAAAAGCTGATTATTACAAGGGATGTTTTCCCTGTCAGAACTGGAACATCCCATGGGGAGAGAAGTTCTTCCTGAGGAAAGCTCAGCCCTGGTGGCTTCACTCAGTGCCTGGGAAATCCTGAGCATCCCTGAGCCAGGCACTGCAGGTCCAGGTGCTCCTGGCTCCCTCTGCAAGGTTTTCCTCATCATTCATGGAGCAGCAGTCTAGACTGGTGACATTTATCACCATGGGGAAGACAGAAGTGATTTTTGAGGGCGACCAAGTTCAAAGACTTTGCTGTAAGTCTTCAGGATTAAAGATTTACTTGATGCATCTTCCCCTGTTTAATAGACAGGAAGAGATGAAAGGGAATTTCTAGAAAGATTTTCATTCACACTTAATGATGCCACTGTTAGATGAGCTTTGGCACAGTGTCCCGAGCCATGAAGCTTTAAAACCAACCTTTTTTAAACATTAAATGACCTTTTTTCATCCTCCAGCTTTAATAAATAAAGATTAGTTCAGCCTTGTTACCTCCCTAGTGCTGGGGGCTGGTTTAATATTTAGTTAAAGTAACCAGTCTCCCAAAATGTTTAGTTAAAGTAACCAGTCTCCCACATTTTGCTGGTTCCCCAAATCCCACAGGGAGGCTGGAAACTCCTCTGGAATTTGATCTGGGTTCTGCAACTGCTGCTGCCACTTCCAGCCTGGATCCAGCTCTCCATCTGAATTCCTTTCTTTCCAAAACCTGCACTTTTTCCCCTTTCTCTTGTATTTGCTCCCAAAATTCAAATTCAATCAGAGCTGAGTAGGTAAAAGAGTTTGGCTGTTGTTATTTTGGGTTCCTTCTCTCCCTTTCTCTGCTTCCCTTTCTCTGCTTCCCTTTCTCTGCTTCCCTTTCTCTGCTTCCCTTTCTCTGCTTCCCTTTCTCTGCTTCCCTTTCTCTGCTTCCCTTTCTCTGCTTCCCTTTCTCTGCTTCCCTTTCTCTGCTTCCCTTTCTCTGCTTCCCTTTCTCTGCTTCCCTTTCTCTGCTTCTTCACCTCCAGGGAAGTTTTCAAGATTTTCAAAAATCAGACCAGAAAATCCCATCCTGAACAGAAATTAAAAAAAAAAAAAAGCTCTGTGCAAACTTTTTTTTTGCTGAGTTGGCTTGAGGAAACTGTTCCAAATGCTTTGGTTTTGACTATTTTTATACTTAAAAATCACTCAACTGTGCATTAGTGGAAGTGGATTTTGTTTGAAAGCTGCCAATTAGGAAAATACTTGAAAACATTCCCCAATTTAGTGATGTTGAAGCTTTAAATTAGAAACTAATGAATCTGAGAATGCTGACATCCACTCCCCCACTGCTGATCTTTAATTTCACACCGTCAGCACCTGAGCAGGGGCTGCATTTGGTGATGCTCAGCACATGGATTTACCCTTCCCTGGGAGCAGGGCTGCAGGAAAAGTTTCTACAAGAACTTTCTCCTCTGCTTCTCTCCTGGAAAAGTGGAGTCTGTGGCAAATTGCTCTCCCAGCTTTGTTCTAATTAAAAGAAGTCATCAGCCACGTTAATATCCTAAAACCCTTGCTCCTGGCTTTGGAGGAAAGCACAACCCTTTTTTTGTGGCATAATGAGATTAGGATGAACTCAACTCCCATGAAACTGGGAAAAGCTAGGAAAAGAAGGAATTGTTGAGTATTTTCAGGATATCAAGTGGATCAGGCTGGTGTGGACCAGCTTTGGGCTTGCCCTGCTGGGGTGAGGGCAGGGCTGGGACCTGGGGAGGCTCTGCAGTTGTGCCAGGAGAGAAAAGATCCCCCTGGGATGAGCAGGCGAGGCTGGGAAAAGAGCCCTGAGAGGAAGAGGGGCTGAAATCAGGCTGTGCTGTGAGGTTTGGGGCTGGGCTAAAGTCTTAGGGGCAGGAAAAGCAAAGAAAAGGAGCCTGGGCTCCAGCCAGGTTGGTCTGGGCTGTGCTGGGGGCTCTGTGGTGGCAGTGAAGGGAGCAATGAGGGCCCTGAGGCACAGCCCAGATCCCTCTGTGGGTCCCTCAGTCCCAGCTCAGCATCCCTCTGCCTTCCCAACCTCTGTGTCCTTTGTGCCTTGCTCCTAGGACTCAGGGGATCTCCCTGATGGGCTTTATTTCACTTCCCAGCTCATTTATGCTTTTCCCTACCAAGAAAAGAAAAAAAAAAAAACCCCAAACCTGCTGCAGGAGTTCCCTTCCTTCCCTCCCCTCCTTCCCTCAGCACCTGAGCAGTGCTGAAGGGCACCTTTCCCTGTGGAGGGATATTTTTTTTTGGGGGGAGGGAAGATAAGAATTGGTGATTTTTATTTATTTTTTTAACAGCAGCACTGCTCTCCCCCAGATAAAATGCAAAATCTGTGTTCTGGGGGGCATCTCCTGTTAGCCAGGATAAACCCACTGGGGTGCCAGCTCCTCATGAAATTCTGCCCCGAATGCTCCACCCCTGAACCCTTTTTTCTCTTCCCTCCAAAAAAACAAAGGTAAAACCCCTCCCCACCTCCCTCTGCCTGCCACAGCTCTGGGTGGGCAGCCCCAGGAGCTGAGTTCAAGATCCTTCTGCTTGAAAAATATTTGTCCCTCCCCACCCAGGGCTGCTTCCTGAAATATTCCAGCTCCTCAGCACCCTAAAGGAACCATCCCGGGGTTTTTTGGGGACGTTCTGCCTTTGTTAGGATGTGAGGCAGCTCCTGGATCTGGGTTTTTTCGGGTTGGGCAGCTGGAGGAGCCTCTCTGGGAGCAGCCAGCCTGTGTGGCAGTGGGTGCTGGGAGCCTGGCAGTGTGGGTGGCTGTGCTGTGCCATTCCAGCAGGTAAAACAGAGATTTCTCTGCAGAGATTTCACCACCCACCTGTCTGGCAGGGCCTGGGGAGTGGGAGAAGCAGCGGGAAAGGCCACGTGTGGGCAGGGGGATGTGGCAGCTCTGGTGGTGACAGGAGCACAAACAGAGCTCCTGCAGGGATCAGGAGTGGGGGTGATGCTGGAGAGGCTACCTGGGACAGGGGCTGGGCAGAGTTAGAGGAATAAAATTGGGATTTATTAAAAGGGATTGAAGGATACATCTTGGGCAGAACAAGAGACCAGCCATGGCTACACCCAAGATGGACCCCAAGTCATGAGTTTTCACACTTGTATAAATTTTGGTCTGTTTTCATACTGGGGGTAAATTCACCAATTCCAGCTCAGGTGATGCAGTCCCCACCTCCCAGTTTGCTCTCTGTTGTTCAATTTTCTGTTGTTTGTTGCTCAGTTCTCTGTTGTTTGCACTTTTTTGGGCTGGAGCTGCAGCGGTGTCCTTGGTTCTGGGGCTGGACAAGGATTGTCTGTGGGGCTGAGCTGTGAGGAGAACTTGGTGACACTTTGTATGGAGTTCAGAGTCACACACCAATGCCAGGGCAGAGGCTGGGAATACGAAAGCTCAACCTGAAGGCATCATGGGGATGGGGAGGGGAGTGCAGATCCCAAACCTAACCTGTGCCTACACCTCTTTCCCCCACAGCTGCCATCCTGGATGACCCCATGGAGTGCAGCAGAGGGGAGAGGCTCTCCATCACCCTGGCCAAGAAACCGCATCAACCGCGCGCCCCGAGCGGGCGGGCAAGGCCAGGGTGGAGGTGGACATCTTTGAGCTGCTGAGGGACAGCGAGTACGAGACTGCAGAGACCAGTGAGTACCACCCTGGGATGCCTTGGGAAGGCTGGGATGGAGCAGAGGCTGGAGGAGTTACAGAATAAAGCAGGGATTTATTACAAGGATCTCCTCAATGGATCCACCTTGGGCAGCACAAGAACCCAGCCAGGGCTGCACCCCAGATGAACCCAAATGGTCCCAAAATGAATCTGAGATGGTCCCAAAATGAATCTGAGATGGTCCCAAAATGCACCCAAGATGAACCCAAAATGGTCCCAAGATGAACCCAAAATGGTCCCAAAATGCGCGAGCGCTCCCGGGGTCTCTCCCTTGGATCAGTTCTGCTCCATTTGCACCTTGCAGTTCATTGTCCCATTCCAGCTTTAGCCCCTGCAGTCCCATCCTTGTTTTTCTCTCTCCAGCCCACGGTGTTTGTGCTCCTGGGCTGAGATTTGGATCATTTGTCCTTGGTGCCCAGCTGGAGCAGGAATTGTTTTGTCTCCCTGCTCTGTGGCCAGAGCTCAGCATCCCCTGATGTGAACCCAGACCCACACACTAAAGCACAGAATCTGAAAAATATACAAAACCTATATAAAATATAAAACCTGAGGCCCAGCTCTCCTCCCAGGAGCCATCTGGCACTCTGAACTTGTGATTTTGTGGCAGTTCAAGGGGAACAGAGAGAAAAAAACCCATCCCTGCTCCTTGCACAGAGCAGTTTTCATTTGCGATGAATGAAATGTGCTGGTGCAAGCTCAGGCATGGACTGAGAGAATCCCTGCCCCCAGTAAGCTTTGCCACCACTCAGTGGCTTGGGACAAATAATTTCCTTTAATCTGCCTGTCAATAAACAGAGGTAATGCTGATCCTTTGTCAAGAGCTTAATGGTGAGCAAACAAGAGACTCTCGGGCAAGTTGGGTGCAATTAAGTTGTTTTTAAAAACCCTGTGGAATCCTGCGTGTCAGCAAACACAGCAGCTCTTCCTGGAGCTTGAGATTGGCAGCAGATTTATTTACACCAAGTGAAGTTTCTCAAGTGATGTTTGAAATCATGAGGATGAAGAAGAGCTGATTTCCACAGAGCAGCAGATTTCCCATGCCACTCTCAAATCCCTGGATGAAGCGATTCTTTATTAGGGTTGTTCTTCTGAGTGCCCAATATGCCAGCTCTGTGCTGGTGAATAAAAAAGAAATTGAGGGTCACTGTCCCACAGTTTGAAAGGAACCCTAAAGGTCTCTGATATTTTTTTTTCCTGTAAGAGGGAAAACCCTTTGGAATAGTAAATCCTCCTTTTAAAATCATTTTAGAGTTCAAGTGAGTGCTATAATTTTTTATTACCAGTTGGCTCGAGAAAGCTGGAGTAATAATTGTAAATAATCTGGATTTTAGACTCGTTTCCTAATGATTCTGCCTTCCATGACTGTGTGATCTGCAGGGTTATCCCCAAAAAGCGTGGCAGGGTGTTGTGCTTTGGGGCTGGCTGGTATTTCCTGGAGTCTTGGTGGCTTTTCTGCTCAGGGACCTCCAGGTGAGGTGGCAGAGCAGCTCTGTGGGGCTGTGGGATCAGCACATCGCTCCTTCATTTCCTGCACCAGCGTTTGCTCCATTTATGGACGTGTGCAGTTAATAAAGAGATCTCAGCAAGAACCTGGGCTCTATTTATGGAGCCTGTCACCCATCAGGCAGCCCAGACTGAGCCCAGCCCGGGGACCTGCACCCAGCCCTTCTCCACTGCTTTGGATCCCTCCATTTGTCAATGTTTTCCTGGTTTTCCCCATCTCTGTTGTCCCCTCTTGTCCCCTAACTTGGCACAACACTAAGGCTGACCCAATTTATCTGGCCAGACCAATTAAGATCCAATTTATCCAGCCAGACCAATTAAGATCCAGTTTATCCAGCCAGACCAATTAAGATCCAGTTTATCTGGCCAGAACCAATTAAGATCCAGTTTATCTGGGCAGACCAATTAAGATCCAGTTTATCTGGCCAGAACCAATTAAGATCCAGTTTATCTGGCCAGACCTTGCAGAAAGGATAGGAATTGCCATGGAATCCCAGAATCCCAAACTGGGATGGGTTGGGAGGGACCTAAAGCTCATCCAGCTCCACCCAAGCTGTCCTTGGACACTTCCAGGGGTCCAGAGGCAGCCACAGCTTCTCTGAGCATCCAAAAGTGGCCTTTTTAGCCCAATTTTTGTTCTTTCCTCATAAATATCCTGCTTGCAGCAGCACTCTGTGCCTGTAGCTTTGTTTTTGGGGAGCAGACTTGATTGCAGTGACCCCAGAGATGCTGTGAGAATCACCAGAGGGATTTTTTTTGCCTTATTTTCAGCCTGTGACCCTGCTCAGGAATTCTGCTCCTGGAAGGTTTCTCCAGCAGAGGAATATTAACTGGCTGAGAATGAAATATTATGCAAGGAATTGTTGGTTTTGGCAAATGTTGTGTTTGGGGAGAAATTGGAAACAGGGCAAGTGAGGAAAGGGCATATCCCATTTCCAGTTCTCACCTTGGGGTGATTTTCTTTGTTTCCTTTACTTGGATTTTTAGAGTAGAAATTGCAGTAAATTGACTTGATTTTAGTGAATTTTGCAGTGTGTTATTTGCCTGTTCTTCAGAGGGAAAAAAATGTCTGGAAGCTTTTCTTAGAAAAGAAGTAATCTGGATTCTGTATGGCTCCTCTATTAATGTCACTGATGTTATTTTTGATTTATCCTGGTGGCAGAGGAAAATCAGATCCCCAAACTTAAATTTCAAGGCTTTCATGGCTTTCAAATGCTTCAATACGTTGCTGGTTTTTGTTATGACACACAATATTAATAAAAACTGTTGAGATGTTTTAACCTGTGACTGCAAAGCTGTTTACAGCTGTTTAATACTGTTCTCACATTTCACACTCCTTGATTCACTCTTAAATATCAGAGCTCCATGCTTAGCTGACAGATCTGGGAGTGCTGGGATTACACCACATACTCCATATACAGGAAAAGGAAGAATTTTGGGAAGAAAGGGCTTTTATTTGGGGAGTCAGGGTTATTTTGTTTTTTTATTTTGTTTTTTTATTTTGTTTTTTTATTTTGTTTTTTTATTTTATTTTTTTATTTTATTTTATTTTTTATTTTATTTTTTATTTTATTTTTTATTTTATTTTTTATTTTATTTTTTATTTTATTTTTTATTTTATTTTTTATTTTATTTTTTATTTTATTTTTTATTTTATTTTTCATTTTTATTTTATTTTTATTTTATTTTTTATTTTTTATTTTTTATTTTTTTATTTTTTATTTTATTTTTTATTTTTACTTTCTTTTTATTTTATTTTTTAATCTATTTTTTATATATTATATTATATTTTAATTTTATTTTTTTTCTGGAGCTGTTTTTCTCCCATTTTCCCTTCTGACTGGCTCAGGGTGTTTTAATGTTAGAGAGTCCCAAAATCTGAGCTGCTCCAGCAGGTAAAATCCCAATCAATCCATCACATTTATGCCTGGTTTGCTATTCCAGCCTTAGAGATGAATGAACACAAACTTTGGCTGTTCCTGTGTGATTTTAAGGAGGTTTCAATGAGAAGTTGTGAGCAGAACCTTATATATTTTTTTCTTTTTTTTTGCTGTTTCAAGGAAAACCTGTTCTCCCTTTGTGTTTGATGTTCCAGCTTCTTTTGTGCAGCTCCAAAACGATTTGTTTAATCACGTCTTTATCTAAACCACCCTGTTCCTTTTGATGTCTGGGCAGGACAGATTTCCCTGCTTGTCACCCTGTCCCCTCTGGCCTCCTCAGCCTTTTAAGCTCCTCTTTGTTGTGAATCCAGTTAAAGTAACCAGTCTCCCAAAATAAACACATTTTGCTGGTTCCCTAAATCCCACAGGGAGGCTGGAAACTCCTCTGGAATTTGATCTGGGTTCTGCAACTGCTGCTGCCACTTCCAGCCTGGATCCAGCTCTCCATCTGAATTCCTTTCTTTCCAAAACCTGCACTTTTTCCCTTTTCTCTTGTATTTGCTTCCAAAATTCAAATTCAATCAGAGCTGAGTAGGTAAAAGAGTTTGGCTGTTATTTTGGGTCCCCTTTCCTTTCCCCCCCTTTCCTTTCCTTTCCTTTCCTTTCCTTTTCCCCTCTTTCCTTTCCTTTTCCCCTCTTCACCTTCAGGCAAGTTTTCAAGATTCTCAAATATAAGATTAGAAAATCCAGGGCAGGTCAGGCAGCAGCTGGAGAATTGGAGATTTTGATTTGCCCACACAATGGATATTTCAGTGCCTTTCCAAAGGGTCCTTTCAGTGGTGCTGGCTCCAATGTGTTGTTTTTACCTGTCCCACTATTTTGGGACACATCTTCTTTATTCATGTTTCAGTTTCATTTTCAGCCTGCTCTGGTTATCAGGAAATCATGGAATGGTTGGGCTTGGAAGGGACCTTAAGGATCATTTTGTTCCTCCCCTTTTCATGAGCAGGGACATTTTCCACTATCCCAGCTTGCTCCAAGCCCTGTCCGAGCTGGCCTTGGACACTTCCCCAGCCTCTCCAGCCCTGTCTGGGGACAGGTTCCTGTCAGGAAGCACAGGGGATGCTCCAGGAGCATCTCTAGAACCCTTTTTCTTTATGCACTTGGTGTTTTTCTCTCTGAGAATCCCATGGCCAGTCCCTGTCTCTGGAGATCTCAGCTGTGTTTTGCAATCAGGGAGCTCCTGAGGTGTTTCCACACTTTCCCTGCTGTTTTATTTTGAATTATAACCAGGAATCTTCTGTGTGTTCTGTTTGAAACCCTGCTCAGGTATCTGTGTGCTCTGAATGAGATGATTCTGCCCCGCGGGTGGCTCCTCTCTCTGGAGGGACCTTCCAGCCCTGCTTTGAACAGGGGAGGATTCATGGAAATGTTTTCCTGGGATCTCAGGAAGAGAAAGGCACTCTGGCCATGTCTGAGGGGATGTGCATTCATTTAGCACCAAGAGCTCCTCATTTGTTGTGCTTTTTCATGTTCAAAAATAAGTTTGCAGCTCTGCCTTCCTTTGAAAAATATCCTGCTGTGTCCCAAGTGCCCAGATCTGGGTTTAATTCCCAAATTCACTCAGGGAAATGGTTGGGCACTGCCCTGCTGTACAAAAGGAGGGTCCCTGTGCCCTGAGCACACACCTGATCCAGGATGGTCAGTGGGGTTAAGAGGTTCTTAAAGTGATGCCACTTCAATTCCAGCACTTTTGAGACCCTGAATTCTAAACAACATCAAAACTGGGGCAGAAACTCAGAGCTGCTGGAGCCTGCAGCACTCCCAAAGGGCCCTGCACAGCATTCAGCTTTTGTGGTGTTGCAGTATGAAGGGATTGGAGTGGCAGGGGTCTGCAATCATCCATAGTTACAGTCCCTGGGATTACTGGATGGATTTTGGATACAGGACCAACATTTCCACATCCTGCAAGCGCTTGTGTGGATGCCCATGGCAGCAGCAAGGTCGAGCCTTTTTTCCCTGTGAGCCCTGACAGCACCAGGTAACGCTCTGAAACAGGAAATGTGCTTGGCTTACAAGAGAAGCTTTCCAAACGTGGTCCAAACCTTTGCCTCAGGCACCTCCACTTTGTTTCCATTCATTTTCCTTCATTTTTGTGGATGTTTCCCCCTGGTAGTGATAAGCCAGGTCTTTTTCTTCCTCCAGTTGTTGCAACCCTGTTGCTATGGCTACTTAACCCACTTTTTGCTCCTGCTAGCAGGCACGAGAAGAAAATCACTCCCCAAACTTTCCCCCTGCACAGCACAACCAGGAATTCTCCCCAGGAATTTTGTGCTGGTGACCTGTGAAGAAGGGAGGGCTTGGAGCAGCTCCTTCCTCACGGATGCTGAATGGCAGAGCTGAGAGGCACTGATGAGTGCTGCTGAGGCTTTCAGGCTGGTGCTTCTTATTTAAAAGGATCTTCTGGAGAGGTTTAAGTGCCTGTAAATTTTTTAAGCACGGAGGAAAAGCAAGCCCTGGATTCCTTTGAAGATGCTGCAGAAAAATATCCCTCCATAGGAGATTGAGTTGTTGGAGGGAGAGGGAGCTGAGGAGGAAGGAAAACCCAAGAGGAGATGTTTGCATTTCATGAGCACTTTCTGTAAGAAGTTGGAGCAATCAGCAGGGACTGGGGAGGATAAGGAGTTTTTCCTTCAAAAGAGAAGCAAAACCAATTCCCCAAAGTGACAAATTAAGTGAGATTTGGGCCTCGTTTTCCAGGCTGTGGAGGAGTGTAAGGCCAGAGATCACAGAATGGTTTGGACTGGCAGGAGCCTTAAAGATCATCTTGTTCCACCTCCTGCCATGGGCAGGGACAACCTCCAGGGTGCTCCAGGCCTTGGGCACTTCCAGGGATGCAGGGGCAGCCACAGCTTCTCTGGGAAAACGTGAAACTGTAGATTTTCCCCTCCCAAACCCCACACTCGACCCCAAACTTGCTGTTCTAGCACCACCCCCAGCACAGTGAGCTTTTATCCTCTTCCAGCCTCGATTTAAAGACTCAAACTCACTAAAACCCCTCCCTGATCTGTAGCTCAGCAGTTTTGATGATGAGCTCACTTTACTACCAAAATAAAACCACATTCAGGTTTGAATTTTTCCAGCTCAAACAGCTCTTTGCTGCTCTGAGGTGCCAGCCAGGGGAAGAGGCAGGTTTGACAGCGATGAGAGCTGAAATCTCAGCCTTGGGATGCAGTGGTTTGGTTTCCACACACAGAAACATTGTGAGCTTGCCCTGGCCATAGCTCACAAGAGCTTTGTGCCTCTTTCTCCCTTTTGGTGCCTCCTTTGTGTTCAGAAAGATTCCAGTTGAGTAAGTGTGGTTTTGTCTGGGGAAAAGCTGAGTGTGTGAGGATGCTGAGGCCGGTCAGCTCTCAGGAGGCTTTTGGAGCTCAGGGACTGAGGCATGAGGGGCTCTCCCCTCCTGCTCAGGAGCTTTTTCCTGCTCTGCATGAGGGGCTCTCGCCTCCTGTTCAGGTTTTTCCTGCTCTGAAGAAAAGGTTCTGAGTGATGCAGGGGATGAGGATGGCACCAGGGAGGTGACACCAGCAGCGCTGCTCCTGGCAGTGAAATTCAGCTGGATTTTTGCTGTGAATTAAAAGGACTGAAAAAAAACCCTTGCAGTTTAACCCAGGAAGAGGTTTAACTTCACGTTTTTCAGGTGTTTTTTATGGTTCTGCTAACCTTGGTGGCAGGGAGCCAGAAGATTTAACTACTGCCAGGAAGAAAACAACACAAAACAAATGAAAACCAGCAATGAAATCCTTGTTTTTACCACTGAACTCTGCAAAGATGAGGGGAGAAATTGCTACAAGTCTGTTTGATGCTTTAAAGCCAGGTCACTGCTGTGTTTAGCATCTTTCCATAAAGTTTAGTTCATGTTTCTGTCCTGGGGACAGAAAGGGGTCAGAAATGAAGATTCTGGGGTTTTGGGGAGAGTTTAGGTGGGGTTTGAAAAGGTTTGGGGAAGATGGAGAGTGCCACAGGCAGGGTGACAGCACTTCAGGGGGAATGAAGGGATTTTGGGCATGAAAATGGCACAGAGGGTGTTGTGGGAAGGAGATGAGCCATATCCTGACTAGAGCATGGCTGTCTGCTGGAATGTGGGATGAATTCTGACCTCTGTTCCCTCTCTCTGCTGCCCACAGTGTGCCAGATCCTCCCCAAAGGCGTGGTGGGAGTCCTGGGGCCTTCCTCCAGCCCAGCCTCCAGCTCCATCATCAGCAACATCTGTGGGGAGAAAGAGGTAAGTGGGAAATTCCTCTGTGATGTCAGAGTGTGGCTGATCCCCCTCCTCCTCATGCACAGACCTTTGAAATGTCTTCCTTTTCCCTCTGCTGCCTCTTTCTGCCTCCCTTTTCCTCTCTGCACCCCGTTTTGCTCCTCACATTCATCACCACGTCCCCACTGAGGGCTGCCAAGCCCAGAGCTCACCCTGCTGGATGCAAACCCAAATCTCCTGCTGTGGCTTTGTGCACATTCTTGGGGAGCTTTATGTTTACTGCTCCTCCATCCAGTTCAACCCCTTTTTTTTTAATCTCTGTCCAGGCTATGTGCTGGATTTAATATTTTATAAGCCTTGAACCTTCCTACGCGGATCTGGCTCTGCACTCTGGAGAAGAAATTGAGTTTTCTTCCCACAGTTCATCCCTTTAAAGGCAGATAACATCTCTCAGCCATTTAGTGGCTCTCTCTGGAGCTCAGCCTTCCAACAGAGGAGGCTGGCACTGAGCACTGTAAATAATTGGCATTCACTAATGAGTGCTGGTTGTTGTTCCTGGGGGGTGGAAGGGATCCTCCAGCCCTGGAACACGGGGCTGCAGCACGAGGGGTCTCTTGGGGGTGTTTTGTAGTGTTTTCTCTTGCTAAATGCTCAGGACGTGTGCTCCATGCCAGGAAAGGGAGTTCTGCACGTGGTTTTCCCCTGAAATTCAGATTCATCCTGAGTCTCTGATCTGAGGCTCCTGATTTTTTTTTTTTTTTTCCTTCAGGAAGGACAGGTGACTGCTGGTGCCCTCCTGAGGTGTTTGGTTCTCTCCATGAGGTGTAAACCTGCAGGAACTCCCTGGGATTTACATACCAGGAGCATCAGCTGGGGCAGAACCCAGGCAGAGCCCCCGTGCCTGCAGGCACCCTCAGGGAAGGGCAGCAGTGTCCCCAGGCAAGCACTGCAGGGGCTGATGTTCTGGGGATGAACCTGCCCTGTGTTATCCCCCTCAGGCCCAAAGAATGCCCAGAAAGGGGAATTGCACTGGGGCAGAGCTCCTGGGCAGGAGAGGAGGGTTCCTGGGGATGAAGGCAGGGCTGAACAAGGCTGTGTTAGCCCTGGGTGCTGTGTGGATTCCTCCCACACAAAAATCCCTTTCCCTCTGTCCAGAAAGGGGAATTGCACTGGGGCAGGGCTCTTGGAAAGGAGAGCAGGGTTCCTGGGGATGAAGGCAGGGGGTGAACAGGGCTGTGCTCAGCCCTAGGATCTGATGTGCTGTGTGGATTCTTCCCACACAATAATCCCTTTTCCCTGTCCAGAAAGGGGAATTGCACTGGGGCAGGGCTCTTGGGCAGGAGAGGAGGGTTCCTGGGGATGAAGGCAGGGGCTGAACACTGGACAGGGCTGTGCTCGGCCCTGATGTTCTGTGCAGGTTCCTCCCACACAAGAATCCCTTTTCCCTGTCCAGAAAGGGGAATTGCACTGGGGCAGAGCTCCTGGATGGGGAGGAGGGTTCCTGGGGATGAAGGCAGGGGCTGAACACTGGACAGGGCTGGATTCCTTCCCCTGTCTCTGCATCTCTGAGTCCCGGGCTGGTCTGGATCCCTCCCTGCAGTGGTCAGGAGCTGCCCTGTCAGCTCTGGTTATGGAAATCCACCTTTCCCTCCTGGGTGAGGGCTGCGGGCTGGAATCAAGGCAGATAGCAGCTTATTACTCCTTAACTTCCCTCGCTAACCAACAGCTCCTGCTGTCACTGAAGCAGCCTTCAGGAGCTGCTAATGGGCTCTCCCAGGAGGGGAGAGGTGGGAGGCAGGGGCTGATGGCTTCGGAAGGAGGCACAGAGGACCTGACACGCTGCTAACAAAGCTGTGGCAGATGTTTCCCTTCCTCCGACTTCTGCTTCTTCCAGAATAATTCACCTGGCAGAAGGAAAACAAGATTGCCTCTCTTTATCTGGCTGAGCCTGCAGAGCCTGGGCTCGGTCTGTGTGTCTGTCCAGCTGCTCCGTCCCTGGTCTGCTTTGTATTTGCAGGGATCACTGTGGCAGGGAGGAATGATGAGGAGGACTCCATCTTATCAGAAGGCTAATTAATTACTTTATTATACTATATTATTCTATATTATATTATGTAAGAGTCGAAATGAGGGATGTGGGACTCCAGGGACTCTTCAAAATGCAGTTTATTGAATCCAAGACATTACAGCAGTCCAGGGTTGTGGGTGACAGAGCTGTGCCTACAGCTGTCAGCTCCAGCTGCAGGCAGGCCTGGAGACCCTGAGTTTAGGTTACAATGCATTATATCCTTTTCTTTTGGTTACAATGCATTATATCCTTTTCTTTGCTGAGCATCTTAATACCGTAGAACCAATCTATCCCTTAACTTTTACCTCTAGCCTATCATAACTACTGTAATTACCATATTCATGTTACTGTTCTCCAATCACTCAAAGTCAGTGCATTACAGTTGAAGCTCAAAGTTGGTTTTCAGTTTTCTTGCAGTGGAAAATTCTGAGACCTTTTTTCCATTTGCAACATTTGCTGCCTTGTTTGCCTGTGCTCTCTTTGTGCTTGGTGAAAACATCTTGTTTGGGGTGGGTTTATCCTTTGCTCTAAGCCATAAAAACCCCTTCTAACTAACACACCCTTTGCCTCCTTGGTTATCCAGTGAGATTGGCTCAGCAATTCTTTTCTTCTAGATCAAAACTTCCTTTTATTTCTATTCCTTCTTCAGATTCTACATTCAAAAAATCTTTCTGCCAAGCACACAAATCTGTGAGACTTTCTTGTCAAACTCTCATCCTTCCCAACAATATTACACTCTATTACATTACATCTAAACTGAATCTGCCAAGCACTCAACTCAACTGCCCAGAATCTCATGACTGTCAGCCCACAGTTCTGACACACACGTGGCCCTGACAGGACAAGGAAACAAAACACCATCCCTGTGGGTAAATCTCCATATTGCATTCTACTTTGGCACAAACACAGGCACAGCAAATGAGATAAGAGTTGTTTTGATCATTCTCTGAGGTTCAGAGAATGTGAAACCCAGGAATAGTCTTGGGAGGAATCGTGCCTTGCTTTTCTCTGTGAGGGGAAATGTGGCTGCGGCCTGCAGGATGTGCAGAGCCCTGAGCCTCCCCAGCTCCCAAAACTCCCCCTGGAGCACATCCTGCTCCAGCTGCTGCTCTGCTGCATCCATCACAAGCCCAGCCCTGGTGCTCCCAGCCCTGCCTGGCCTCCTGTTGGTCAGAAATGCCCAAAGCTTCTGGCTGCTGTGCTGTTCCTCCCCTGCCCAGCCTCACCAACACAGGCTCATCTTGTTCTTGCCTTCATCTCTGCTAATTAATTAATTACCTGGTGGCACCTCCATGCAGAGGGGCTGGGTTCAGGGCCCTGGATGATCCCTGTGTCCCTGCATCCTTCCCCAACGAAGGCTGGGCCCAGCCACAATTAGTGCCCCAGCTAATTAGGCTGAGCTCACAGGGAAGGTTTCCTGTGCTGTAATCACAGTCCCTGATGCCTTTCTCTGAGTGGCTCAGCAAGACTCTTCCTGCTCCACTCCTTCCCGTGGTTTTTGTTGCTGTGATAATTATTTTCCTCTGCTGCTGCACGAGTCCCACCCTCCCCTCTTGACTCCAGTGCTGCTGCTGCAGTTTTACTGGGATATTCCACTTTCTGCCTGCTGTGTGCTTCACACCACAGGCCCTTTATCACAGAGTTACTTGTTTTTATTTCTATTTCCTCTTTAATTATATTTTCTTTCCTCCTCCTCACGCTCAGGTTCCTCACTTCAAAGTGGCTCCAGAGGAGTTCCTGAAGCTGCAGCTCCAGAGGTTCACCACCCTCAACCTCCACCCCAGCAACACCGACATCAGCGTGGCCGTGGCAGGAATCCTGAACTTCTTTAACTGCACCACTGCCTGCCTCATCTGTGCCAAAGCTGAATGTAAGTCTTTGCCAGGCTGGGTTTTCCTGCCCCTCTGCTTTGTCTCCTCTTTGTTTGGTGCTATGCTCCTCATGTCTCTGCTCAGCCCAGCTTTTCCACTCATTTCTCCACCCTGGTGCCCCATGGAGGAGTTTTTTCAGAGGAGGAAAGGGGATGGGTAGATGGGTAGAGATAATCCTGCCTTCTGTTTGCCCATCTGAAGAGTGTTTTGCTTCCACAGATGGGGCTTTGGATAAGAAAAAAAAAAATTAAGAAAGGCGTAGGCCTGGTTCTGGAGATTATTTTTAGGCATGTAAAGCACTTTGAAATGTGGCTTGCCCAAAGCCACGTGCAGTTTGTGGCCTAAAAGTGGGATTTGAGTAACAGTCAGCACAGAGCATCCTCCTGGCTCTGCAGCCTGCATCTGCTGGGGACTGTGCGTGGGGACAATGGAGCTCCCACCTGAGCAGGGCCAGATCCACCTGAGCAGGGCCAGATCCACCTGAGCAGGGCCAGATCCACCTCAGCAGAGCCATTTCCACCCTTGGCAGGGCCATTTCCACCTGAGCAGGGCCAGATCCACCTCAGCAGAACCATATCTATCCCTGCAGGGCCACCTCCACCCTCACCAGGGCCATTTCCTCTTCACCAGGGCCATCTCCACCCTTGGCAGGGCCATCTCTACCTTGACAGGGCCAGATCCACCTCAGCAGAGCCATATCCACCTTGAAAGGGTGATCTCCATCCCTTCAGGGCCATCTCCACTTTGACAGGGCCAGATCCACCTCAGCAGAGCCATAACTATCCCTGTAAGGCCATCTTCACCTCAGCAGGGCCATCTCCCCCCTCACCAGGGCCATCTCCACCCTCACCAGGGCCATCTCCTCCTCACCAGGGCCATCTCCATCCCTGCAGAGCTCCTGCTGTGGCAGGAGCAGGCTCAGCATCCCTGATCTCAGCGTGTCCTGGGCTTTCTGAGGTCAGCGTGCAGCAGATTTGGGGTGGCCACAGCAGCCTGGAAGGGGGGGCTTTGGAACCACTCCCTGGTGCAGGGACAGCTTTGGGATTTTGTCACTACAGGACATGAAATAAAATGACACGCTCTGGAACCTCCAAGGTAAAAAGAAAGGAAGTTTATTTTCTGGCTCCAGCATTTATAGATTTCCAAAAGTGGCAGTGGATTGGAGGGTGACAGTGCCACCTCTCCAATGACACTGCACAAACCAACAGCCCATCAAATTTCTCCTCCTTCAGAAAAGAATGCAAAACCATAATTATTTACATAAATCTGCCTGAGAACGTTCATTACAAGGATGTAAACATCAGAAGGCTTAGAAAAACCTGGAAGAAGGAGGCAGCAGGAGTGCTGCTCTCTGACTGGGCCAGCACCATTCCCAGTTAGCAAACTCCCCAGAAGCATCGGCTGCTGTGGAAGATTCCTGCCCAGGGACTCAGGAACAGAAGTGTTTTTAGCTCCTCTTTGTGCTCTCTGTGCCCCCAGGGCAGCAGGCTGAGGTGGGTCAGTAAATCACCCTGGTGAGCAGTGCTCACATCCACCCCAGGAAAGGCCCTGGCTCAAAATGATGCAATTAAAATCATGCAAATGGTCTCCCACATCACTCCCAGAGCTGGAATCTTTCATTGTCTAACCTTAACCTTAAGCAAGAAGGGAAGCAAAGATAATTAGGTTTTCTCAGCTGCTGTGCAGGAGGCTCAGGGCTCTGCACCCCTGCCCTGCTCCTGGGCCAGGAGTCTCCCACTGGAATTAATATGATTAATATGATTTTTATTTAGCTGGATCAAACCCTCTTACCTGAAGCAATCCAATTTATTTCGCTCTGGTGCTGCTGGATAACTCAATATTTAGGATGTGCTGAGACCTTCCCAGACCCAGGGAAGCAGTGGGACAGGAGCCTTTCATCCTCCCAGCTCTTTGTGCTCAGCAAGGAGCTGATCTGAGCCAGGCTTGAAGCCCAACAAGCCCTGACTGTAACAGAGCACAGACAAGGCTTAATTGAGCTTCATGTAGGAGCACAAACCCTGATTTTCCCTTAGGACATGCACTGCTCCTAAGCACAGTCCTTAAACAACTAACTGGAGGCATTTCAGGCTTTTGGAAGGTTCCCTTGAGGGGAGCATAAGAGCTGCCTGCTCATCAGTGAGGAAAGGCTGTTTTGAGGGATGTTATTATTTGGATCCCAGGAGGGGCAAGCTGGAGCTGCTTTGGTTGAAGTGTGAGGCTGTGATGGGACCCCCGGGCCCTGCCCTGCCACACTCACCCTGTCACATCCTTCCTCTGGGGACTGGCTGTGATTTCCCCTGGCAGGAGCAGAAAATGACCCTTAAAGCCAAAGAACTTGGGCCAGCCTAAGTGTAATGCCCTGGGGAATGTAAAATGTAAATGAGATTTGTGTGACTCAGTTTGGTGGACAGAATAAGAGTGTCTGACTCAGTTTGTCTGTGATGTTCAAGAATTAGCTGGTTTGGGAGCTGCTCTGGAAGGTTTTGTATGGCTGCACAGAAATCTTAACCCAAAAAGGCAATTAGAGGAGTGCATGGACATTTTAGGAGCTTCTGTGATTGCCAGAGGGGAAGGGACAGCACCCAGTGCTTGGGAAAGGTGACCAGGGTAGTGAGGTCCAGGGCCTTGTGCACATCCTTGGTCCTTTTTTTAAAATACTGTTGTTAAACATGGGAACATCCAGGGGGCTGTTTGAAGCATCAGTGTTGGGATTAAAACCGAGGCTGGATGATGGGAATGTTCTCTCCCCAACCATCCATGTCCAGGAGTGGAACCATCAGCAGCCCTGCAGCTCCTCCATCAGCAGGAGCCCTAAACAGGGACGTGTTTTAACTCCAGGAATGCCCCAGCTCCTGCCTCTTCTCCTTCCCAGGAGCCCTAAACAGGGATGTGGCACTCCTGGAGAGCTCCAGCTCCTGCCTCTTCTCCTTCCCAGGAACATTGAACAGGGATGTGGCACTCCTGGAGAGCTCCAGCTCCTGCCTCTGCTTCCCAGGAGCATTGAACAGGGATGTGTTTGAACTCCAGGAGAGCTCCAGCTCCTGCCTCTGCTTCCCAGGAGCAGCTCCTTCATCAGCAGGAGCACTAAACAAGGATGTGTTTTAACTCCAGGAATGCCCCAGCTCCTGCCTCTCCTCCTTCCCAGGAGCCCTAAACAGGGATGTGTTTGAACTCCAGGAGAGCTCCAGCTCCTGCCTCTCCTCCTTCCCAGGAGCATTGAACAGGGATGTGTTTTAACCCCAGGACAGCCCCAGCTCCTGCCTTTCCTCCTTCCCAGGAGCATTGAACGATGCATTTGTACTCCAGAGATGTATTTGAACTCCAGGAATGCTCCAGCTCCTGCCTTTCCTCCTTCCCAGGAGCAGCTCTGCTGCTGAGAGCTCGGGAATGAGGCTGCTCTTGCCAGCTCCAGATGTTTGCATGAGGGAAAAAATCAAATAATCAAAGTCAGGACTTGCCACAGGCCAGCCTGAACCTCTCTCAGAGCTCCCCATGGGAGTGTTCAAGCAGTAGGTGCCTGGTGCAGCCTCTCTGTCCTCACTTTGGTACTTCAAAGGTGCCAGGAGGAGTCTGCAAGCCTTTGTGGGGTTCACATCCCTCTGAAGTGCCAGTCTGGCAGCAGCAGCAGCAGCAAGAGTCTCACATCCTCTCAGCATCAAACAAAGGGGAATCTCTGCACAATAGAGACTTCCCTGCACACAGCAAGAGCAGCTGCAAGCAGGAGGCTGGATGAGGCTACAGGTAGGATCTAATGTGCTAGAAATGATAATTTCCTCGAGCTGAAGGTGGAGATCAAATGATGCCTTTTTTTTTTTTTTGGTTCCACTTCTTCCTCTCTGTGCCTGATGAGCTTTAGAAAAATTTTCCTGGGTTTCACAGCAGCAGAGTTTGCTGGGATGAGCTGCAAGCAAACTTGGGAGTGTCAGATTTCCAGGGCTGTCTGGCCCCCTGCAGATGTGGAATAAGGTGAAAATAAACCTTTCCACATCCTCGAGGGTCAAATGGAGGGCTTAGGAAAAACTTACTGTTCACCTGGGTTAGAAGACAAAAGAAGTGCTCAGGTGAGGTCCTGGTGTGCTGTAAGCAGAGTGAATTCTCTGCCTGGTGAAGAAGGAGAAGGAGCTGATGTGACCCAGAGAAGTCCTGGCACAGCTGTTTTATAACCCCTTGCTGTGCTCCTGCTCGTACCCAGAGGAAAGGGGAGAGGCAAGGGCATTGCCAGGAGCTCAGAGCAAGCTCAGAGTGCTTTAAACCTCTCCCTGGGAAGGAGGGGCTCCTAATCCTGGCTGTGCCCCTTTTCCTGCCCTGCTTTATTTTTGTTACCTGGTGCAGTGCTGGCAGCTCTTGAGAGCAGAGCTCCAGCACTGATCCCACCCCGCTGGGACCCTTCCCTGCCTCCTGACCTGCTGGGGAATGAGTGGATTCATGCAGCCAAAAATAAGGCAGGGTAAGAGTAAAACTCTGACTTGAGGGTTAATTTGCCTCTCTGCCAGCTGGGCTGTGATCCTGCTGATTGTTCTGTTTCTCCAGCTCTGTTTCCCCCCTCTTTTGGGGTTGTCTTCCTGAGGGGATGGGATGTGTGGCTATGCTGTCTGTGTCTTGCTGATGAATCCATCTGCTGGTTCCTCTGGTCAATCAAACTTGGCAGGAGGTTATTTCTTGATGAAACTCAGCAGCTGGAGACAAGAGAGGCTCTATCAAAGCTGCTTTCTTGACTAACAAAATCTGCAGCAGGAGTTTTGACATCTTATTAGGCTTCAAGGCAGCTGTGTTGGAAGGAGCCCATCCTTATTTTTGTCACGATTTTTTAATGTTGTATTTTTGCAGTGACCTCCAACTCTCAGCGGAGCTTCTCATCCCCTTGGAAGAGAGCAGCTACCCATCAGAGTGCTCCAAGAGCTCCAAAAAAGCTGCACCTTCCTGGGCACTTAATCTGGGAGCTGGAAATGCAAAGGCTGAGGGGGAGGAATAATCCTCCAGTAAGCAGAACAATCCCAAATGCAGGGAGATAATGGAGACCTTGTCTGGACCTTGTATTGAAGGAGTCTGGGGACACTTTATTTTCCTGGAGAAGAGCTGGAGCAGCTCCACCACTTCTCCTTCCCTGCTGGACCAAACAATGACTCCTAAATCCTTTCCACTTTTTTTTTTTTTTTTTTTTTTCCTGAGGAGCAGCTGAAATAGTTTTGTTATTTCTCATTCCCTGCTGGATCCAGAATTGAGCCCCAAATCCTTTCCTCTCCCTTTCTCTGGGGAACAGCTGGAATAACTCCATTATTTCTCATTCCCTACTGGACCCAGAATTGAGCCCCAAATCCTTTCCTTTCCTCTCCCTTTTTCTGGGGAACAGCTGGAATAACTCTATTATTTCTCATTCCCTGTTGGACCCATAATTGAGCCCCAAATCCTTTTCTTTCCTCTCCCTGTTTCTGGGGAACATTTGGAGTAACTGGAAAACTAATAACTCCATCATTTTTCATTCCCTGCTGGACCAAGCACTGAATCCTCTCCTTTGCAGTGCCCAGACCCAGAACTTCAGGAACGCATCCTGCCATGGATCATCACCCTGTCCCATGGGAGAACCAAGGCTCAAACTCACAGGGCTCTGTCCTTTTTCTCTCTTTCCTCCCAAGGCCTTTTAAACCTGGAGAAGCTGCTGCGGCAGTTCCTCATCTCCAAGGACACGCTGTCGGTGCGGATGCTGGACGACAGCCGGGACCCCACCCCGCTCCTGAAGGAGATCAGGGATGACAAGACAGCCACCATCATCGTCCATGCCAACGCCTCCATGTCTCACACCATCCTGCAGAAGGTGAGATGCACAGCGAGCAGCTGGCACAGCGTGCCCAAGGATTTCTCTGAGTAAGAAAGCTCAGAGATAAAGAGAAAACAATTCTTATCTCGCTTGCTGCTCATGTTGTCTGGCACGTGTGGAATGTGTTATGGAGACTGTTTACCCAAACAGATTTGTTAATTGGACTCTGGTGTGATGGTTGTTGATATTGATTAACCAATTAATCAAAGCCACCATCATTGTCCATGCCACCGCCTCCATGTCCCACACCATCCTGCAGAAGGTGAGATGCACAGCGAGCAGCAGGCACAGCGTGCCCAAGGACTTTTCCTGGGGAAGGCAGTGAGAAAGCTCAGAGACAAAAAGGAAACAATTCTTAGCTCTACTTGCTGCTCCTGGTGTTTGGCACATGTGGAATGTGTTATGGAGATTGTTTACTGAGAGTGATTTGTTAATTGGACTCTGGTGATGGTTGTTGATATTGATTAACCAATTAATACACAGTCAAAGCCACCATCATCATCCATGCCACTGCCTCCATGTCCCACACCATCCTGCAGAAGGTGAGATGCACAGGGAGCAGCGTGCCCAAGGATTTCTCCTGGGGAAGGCAGTGAGAAAGCTCAGAGGTAAAGAGAAAAAAATTCTTAGCTCTACTTGCTGCTCCTGGTGTTTGGCACATGTGGAATTGTTATGGAGATTGTTTACTGAGAGTGATTTGTTAATTGGACTCTTCTGATGGTTGTTGATATTGATGGACCAATTAATACACAGTCAAAGCTGTGTTGTGGCTGTTGGATTTTTCTTTAATATCTTTTTAGTATGATATGGTTCTACTGTAGTTCTAAGAGAACTGTATATCATATAGAACCCTAATATAATATAGTATAGCTTAACAAAGCAATGGTTCAGCCTTCTGAAGTCATTTAGAGTCAGAGCACATTATTCCCACGTTGGGGTAATCTTGTATTGATAGTGAGTGTCCCTCCCCTGTCCCTCGTGGTGCTGCTGCTCCCCCCAGCCAGCTCCTGTGGGATTTTGTAGTTCCTTGTAAGGCTGGCCTAGAGCAGAGGCTGGACAGAGCTAATGAATAAAGCAGGGATTTATTAAAGGTCTCAATGGATGCACCTTGGGCAGCACAAGAGCCCAGCCAGGGCTGCACCCAAGATGAACCCAAAATGGTCCCAAAATGCACCCAAGATGGTCCCAAAATGCATGAATGCTCCCGGGGTCTCTCCCTTGGATCAGTTCTGCTCCATTTGCATCTTGCAGTTCATTGTCCCATTCCAGCTTTAGCCCCTGCAGTCCCATCCTTGTTTTTCTCTCTCCAGCCCACGGTGTTTGTGCTCTTGGGCTGAGATTTGGATCATTTGTCCTTGGTGCCCAGCTGGAGCAGGAATTGTTTTGTCTCCCTGCTCTGTGCACAGAGCTCAGCATCCCCTGATGTGAAGCTCAGAACTGCTCACCTAGGCAGCACAGAACCTGAAAAATATGAAAGCTAAAATTTAAGCATCAATTGAAATGTGAAAATTCCCACAGCAGCGCTGGGAATTGGCTCTGCCCAGAGGGGAATTGCCATTGATGGGATTTCCAGGGCTGGATCTGTGCAAGTGGTGGTTGAATTGCTCTGAGGGGATGTGTTTGCTCTCCACAAGTGGTGTTGCCATCCAAGAGCTGTGAAGGACTGTTCAGCTCTCTGAAATGACTCTTGTGCCTCCTTTTTCCCCTCCCTTTAGGTGTCTAACTTTTTCCTTCCTTTTCTTTTTATTGTCTTATTAACCGAGATTTTATTTTAATCCTGTTTATTTTTAAATGGTCTCTGGCTGCAGTTTCTAGTGCTTGTTTTGATAGCCTGCTTCAAAATTGAGCAGTGGCTCCAGATGGAGCAGAGTTTCCCACATCCTGGAGGGAACAAGAAGCACATTCCTGAAGGGAGGCAGGATCCAAGCTCTGGGATCCCCCTGGCTTTCCACACTGTCCTGGCTGTTTTGTCACAGAATGTGTCATCCAAAGGCCTTGCCAGTGCCAGATTTACCCCTGGTGACATCCAGCAGGGATGTTTTTATCAGTCCTCTCTCCCCCCAAAAGATTTTTATCCCACAACATGCAGTTTTAATTTCTAAATAGACAATTTGGGGGATTTTTTGGGGTTATCTCCTCAGGGTTTTTTTTGTGTGTGTGTTTTCCCCTTTTTCCCCTGTTGCTGCCTGGCTGCTGAGGGCTGTCCCCCTCCTCTGTTGCTATAGTGACTTCCCACAGGCTCCCAGCAGCTCTCTCCAGGCACCCACACCTCCCTGCCCAGCTCCAGCCTCCTTCTGCCACCCTTGAGAAACATCAGAAATCGCCAGCATTTCCCAGTCAAACCCAGTTCTTCCAGCTGGAGGACCTGAGGAATGAAGGGTAATAAACAAACAGCTCCTGGTCTGACAACTTCTTGCACCTTGGCAGGCTGGGAGGTGTTTTATTGGGAGCCAGGGATGGTGGTGCTGAGCATCAGGTGAAGCCATGTCCTATCCCAGAGCAGGGAAAACGCTCTGTGGGTTTGCTGGGTCCCAGCAGAGCAGTGAGAGGAATCCCCAGTTTCTCATCCCTCACCCTCCACAGATGGGCAGGGGACACATGGATGGCTCCCAGATTCCCCACTCCCAGCTGCCAGGGCTGGCTGAATGGATGGCACAGGCACTGCTTTGCTGCCCACCTTGATTTTCTACCCTTGGAACCAAACCTCTGAGCTCAGAGTGGGCCACAGGGAGAGCTGGCATTGTCACTGTCCCCAGGAAGGGATAAGCAGGGGGAATCGGTGCCAGGGTTTGCTGTGGAGGGGGTGAAAAAGGAGGGAGGGGGGCTCCTCTGGGTTCAGGGGATTCCTTGGCTTCTCTGAGTCTGTTGTGTCACCTGGGTGAGGGACAGGGTGAGAGTGTGCAGCCAAGGGGCTGGGCACAGTGCTGGTGGCCTCAGGTTTGCACAGCAACAGCTAAAAGACAGGAAAAAGGAGAGGTGCAGTCCCAGCTGCCTCTTTCTGTCTTTCCTTCCCTCACTTTGTGTTGTCCCCGCTTCTGGGAGGGATAAAAGGGGCTCACAGCAGGAGTGAGGTGCTTTGGTCCTTCCCTCCTTGCCTCCCATTCCTCTGTGTGGTCTGGACTGCTGGGAAAACCTCTTTGCCAGGGTCTGGAAGCTTGATTTGAGAGCAGCTGTGCTTGGCAGTGGAACAGAGGCTTCCAGGAGCATCTGCAGATTAATGCCCCACTTTCCTGAGCATCTGTTCCCACAACCAGCTCCTTGTGCAGTGAGAATTTTGCGAAAGGCCTTCAGTTATCTGCTCTGTGATCTCTAGAACAGATCATCCCCGTGGAACATTCTGTGTCCTTCTCTCTGCATCCCTGGACAGTTCTGCCCTGTTTTCTTCTATTTCTGTGGCCAGCACAGCCCTGTCTCAATTCTGGAGAGCAGGCTGAGTTACTGGGTCTCATCCATGCTCATTAATTTGTGGGATTTGAGCCCAAATCTGACTGATAAAACTGGAAAACCACCAGTGGCTTGATTGTCCTTTTCCTGCAGCTCCCAGGAGCTTTTCCTGCCTCTCTCTCTCCATCATGGTGTTTGTGGTGGAAGAGACAAGCCTGGAGCTCTCAGCTGCTCTTTTCCCTTGTTATGTCCCAAAACAGGAGCAAAGCAGCATCCACACAGAAAATAAGCAGAAATCCTTATTTTCCTCTTAAAACATCATGGAATTCCTCATCCCAAGGGGTTCTGGAGCTCTCAGGACTGGGGCTGCAGGATCCACCTCACCTTTCCAAACCATTGAGGACCATTGGAGTCTGTAAAAAAGCTTTTCTGCTGGGAGTTTAGAAGCTGGTGCTTTCCACAGATGATTTCCTTAGAGTTAACCTTGGATGGATGCAGGAGTCCCTGAATTCCATCTCAGAATGCCATGGAGAGAGCAGGGATGCTCCCAGGGCCTGGAGCTGGGTCATTCCCTCTGTGCAGCTGCTTTGTCAGAGCTGCTGTGGGCTGGAGACCCCAGCTGAGCTCAGTCCTGCTGCAAAATTCCTTCCCCAGGCTTTCATTTCCCGGGTCCAGCCGTGCTGCTGTGCCCCACCCTCCCTTCCTGCAAGGAGAGATAAGCCTCAAAAAGCAAAATGTGGCCCTGGCTCTGCCTTGCAGGAGTGGAGATTGGAGATTGTCAGGCTCTGGTTTAATCTCTTTTTTCCTCTCCTTCACAGGCAGCTGAACTGGGGATGGCATCTGCCTATTACACCTATATCTTCACTAATCTGGTAAGGAGCTTTTCCCAGCTTTTTCCTGCCTGAGTGTGGAGTCATTTTAATGGGAGCTGATCCCCCTGACCTATGGGATCCTCAGGCAGAGCCTTGTGTGCTGGGGAGGGAGGCAGGGATGTCACCTGCTGCTGGAATCAAAAGGCAAAATCTTTCCAAATAATATAAAAAAAAATATTTCCAAAAGCAGTTCTGTAACAAAAGCTTTCTGTGCACACATGGTATTGAATTTCTACAGTTTTTATCAGGTTAATTAATTAGTTCATCTAACAGGTACATCCAACAAGAGACCAGTTGCCCCAGCAACCAGCCCTTGGGTCTGCCCCTTGGAGTTGTTCTGTGTCTTGTTACATCTCTTAAATTCTGGTTCAAAACAAGATGTCCTCGTTAGAAATTCCTGGTGTTAAAATCAGACTAACCAGAATCTCAAGAATGTGTTAGGAAGGGTTGGCTTATTGTTTAACATGTGAGAAAGGGCAGGAAAATCACTAGAAACTCCACAATTGCATATTTAAAAGCCACGATGCTACAAATAGATGAAAAATATATTAAAAACAAACTAAAAAAAAAAATCTTCAGGCATCATTCCTGCAAAGCTGGAAGGTCTTGAGGAGGTGGAAAATGATTGTTCCCAAAGACCTGCACATGTCATTGACCCAACTCCTGTCAGTGTCCACAATTCCTGCCTTTGGATGTTGCACCAATCCTTTTCTACCTCCTCAAGACCTTCCCAGCTTTGCAGGAATGATGCCTGAGGATTTATTTTTTTTTTAGGTTTTGTATATATATTTTTCATTTATTTGTAGCATTGTAGCTTGGAATTGTGGACATTGTGACAGGAGGTGGGGCAATGACATGTGCAGGTCTTTGGGAAGCTCCAGCAGATGGGTGGATCCTGGTTGTCCTGGGATCCTGGGGTCCTGGGGGTTCCTGATTTTTTGGGGTTATGCTGATGTTGTCACCCCGTCCCTTATCCCATTCCCTGTGCAGGAAAAGGCCAGGGATGAGCACCAGGAAGGCATCACAGCCCTGAGACAAAGGAAGGGATGATCCCATAAATGTTGAGAGCAGGGAATGGTTTGGCTTTATGGCCACAAATGACATTAATGGGATCATGGTGTGGTTAAACCCCTCAGTGTAAATCCAAAATAAACATCAGAGGAACTTCTCCTCCATGGAGGGAGGAGGAACCCAGCTGTGAGTGCTCCTGGGGGGCTGATGGAAACCTGGATGGGGTGAAGTGGAGCTGCCTCCCAGCCCTAATGATTCTCCTATTCTCTAATTTCTATTAATATTTCTGGCAGGGAAGCTGAGAGAGCTGAATCACACTTTGTGTTTGGGTGGGAGACAGACGGGAAGGGACGGAGCCAAACGTGTGGGCAGGGAGCTGGAGAGGATGAGGAGCAGGGGAGGGAGGAAAATTGAGGGGTTGGGAGCAGTTGGGGCACAGAGTGGAGAAAGGGGAAGGGGAAGGAGGGAAATGGAGGCACAGAGTGGATAAGGAATAAAGGGAAGGAGGGAAAGGGATGAATTGGGAGCAACTGGGGCACAGAATGGAGAAAGGATCAGGGAAAAGAGGGAAATGGAGGGGTTGGGAGTAGCTGGGGCACAGAGTGGATAAGGAATAAAGGGAAGGAGGGAAAGGGATGAATTGGGAGCAACTGGGGCACAGAATGGAGAAAGGATCAGGGAAAAGAGGGAAATGGAGGGGTTGGGAGCAGCTGGGGCACAGAATGGAGAAGGGATCAGGGAAAAGAGGGAAATTGAGGGGTTGGGAGCAGTTGGGGCACAGAGTGGAGAAGGGAAAAGGGGAAGGAGGGAAATGGAGGGGTTGGGAGCAGTTGGGGCACAGAGTGGAGAAAGGAGAAGGGGAGGGAGGTGGCAGAGGGAGAAATGCAGGGAACAGAGAAGCCCATGAGGCTCCTGGCTGGGTTCCTGCTCGGTGTCCAGTCCAGGGGTCAGTCCAGCCAGGCAAATTTCACTGATTCTGTTCATGCCCTGGGTATGGGCAGCACAGGGAGGGAGCCTTGGGGCTGTGCTCAGTGCCCCAGGTCACCATGTCACAGTGCTGGCAGAGGGACAGTGCCATCCCCACCTTTCCCACTCCCAGGAGCATCTCCAGTGCTCCCACAGCTCTTCCTGCCCCTCTTGCCCTCCCCAGCCCATTCCCAGTCCCACAGAGCAGGGCTGGGCACACAGTGAGGGATTTCCACCTCACATCACCAGCACATTCTGCAAAAAAATTCTTCTTTTTTAGAGTTGTTTCTGTTGTCTGAGCAGCATCTCAAGGATGCTGCTCTAAAAATGAAGCTCCCACCTCCACCCCCACCCCAGTCCTGAGCACGGGTGTGATTAAGCATTTGCTGGAGGTGAAATTTGCCTTTCAAACCCATTCATCTCGTGGAATGCAGCAATGGCAGGTGAGGAAAGAAATGAGTTTTGTTGCCATTCACTCTCTCAGGGTATTAATCTGTTTATCCAGGTTATTTTACCACTTTGTTCAAAAGCCCAGCCCGTAGCAGAACTGACGGGATTTTTGGCAGGGATCATTATGGGGAAGGTGACATCAGACAAAACCTGGGCAGATGGAAGAGATGTTTAAGGAAATTAGTAATATTTAAATGGGGATTGGAGATGGGAGTGAGCAATTTAGGCTCATAAATCTGGAGGGATTATCAAGCTCCTAATGAACCCTCTGAGGTTCTGCAATCACTGCCTAATAGAAAAGATAAAATCAGAGGGAACTACTGTCAAGGGGAGCCAGAAAAAAATGGCTTAAATGGAGAGAGAACCCATCAGGAAAGGGAACAGAGAGCCTGTAGAGCACTGAGCTGCTTGGAGATGGAAAAAAAGAAAAAAAAAAGAGGAGAAAATAGGATAAAATGCTGAATTAAACACCTGCCCTGCAGCTCTAGAGGGGAGCTCTGTTTCTGTCTTTCAGCATTAATTTTATTAAATAAGCACATCCCAGCTGACAGCTCTGCTCTCTGTGAGTGAGAGAGGAGGGGATTCTCTGTGTGCTGGGGCGCAGGAGGGGATTTTGGGGGTGATGCCCCCTCTGTCCCAGCCTGGTGCCTGCACCAGGGCCCTCCCAGCAGATCCCTGGGGCAGATGAGGAGGAGCCCTCAGCCCCCAGCACATTTCCATGGGAGCTGGTGTAAAAATATCCACAGGCTCCTCTCCTGCGTGCAAATTCATTATCAGCCTCCTTCAGCCAGCTCCAGGGGCCTGTTCCTGTCAGCAGCAGCAGCCTGGCAAATTTTCCAGGAGTCCTCATGGAACTCTCAGGTCTGGTGCATTTGTCTTCCCCACATCCTGCGTTTGGGGCACTCCTGGCCTCCATCCCCTGGCAAAAAAATCCCATTTTCTCCCTGGCATCTCCTTGTGGTGATGGTTCCCTGGCTCAGGGACTTTTGGGGAGGGATGGAGTTCCCAGAAAAGGTGCTGGGATAATCTCAGGGCTGTTCATCATCCCTTCCCTTCTGCCTGGCAGGGTCTCCACAGAGCTCACGGCCATGTGAGGGGGGCAATGATGTGCAGAATAATAATAATAATAATAACAATAATAATAACAATAATAATAACAATAATAATGCACAAATAGACCATTGAAAGCAGACTGCTGTGCATTGAAGAAAATGTTCCTTCCAGCACTGGAAATCCCTGAAATCAGCAGCACAGAGTAGGAGGGGATGTTGGATGCCTTCAAAACCCCACGCTACAATTAATTCTTTTAGCTTGTTAATTCTGTGGAGCTATTGGGTTTTGTCTTTTTTTTTTTTTTTCTTCTCTCTCTGTTTGGTTTGTTGCCTTTTTTTTTTTTTAATAATATCCAGACCTCAGGCTGGGTTTAAATTTCAAAATATTTGACAATTAGATGGGAATAATTGAAACAATTAAAATTATTACTCCAAGGGGGAAGGTGTAAAGGAGGTTTCCCAGTGCCTCAAGTCAGGCAGGGCAATTCACTGGGTGCAGTTTTGTTCCCTGACAAAATTGTGTGCAGGTGTTGCTGCTGATAAAACAGCTGCCGTGTTCAACTCCCACAGACCAGATAAATCAGTTGAGCTTTGGGGTTTTTGTCTTGTTTCCCGCTTTCTCGTCTTTGTTTGGTGATTTATAAAGAGGTCTTCGCACAGGATGAGGTTTTTGAGCTGAATTGTCAGCCTGGAGCTGGAGCTGGAGGGGAAATTGGTGTCCAAGTCCCCCAGAGAGTGTCACACGTTCGTGCTGTACCTTGTCAGCAGGGTGACATCCCTGGGAAGGAAGGGATGATGTCAAATCAGGCAGAGGGACAAGGGAGCTACAGATGAGGCTTTGACCGGGGCTTAGGCTTTGTGAAATTGCCTTTTTGTGGTGAAATAATCTTATTTTTGGCTGTGAGCTCCAGCGCAGGCCGCGGTGTTTGACCTCCCTGTGCCTTGCCCAGGTGAGGAAGGCAGAATCCCTCAATGCCCTGGGACAGATTCCCCTCCCAGCAGCTGCTGTGAAGTGTTCTGGAGAGCCCTGATCATTGCTGGGATTTATGGATCATATTTTCAGTGGCATGTGCTAGCAGGGCAAACAAATCAGGTTTTTGCAAGGCTGCCAAGGCACTTTCTCCTCGTTCTAGTTAGCATTGAGGGAAGGAGGGTTTAGACAGAGCAGTGGCTGTGCCTCCCTGCCTTTTGCTGCCTCAGTTTTGTTACTTTCTGACCAGATCCCTGTGCTTGATTCCCAGTTTTTGGGTAAATTCTCTCAGATACACCCCAGCCCCCTGGAAACTCTGGAAAAAAAGAGGTGGGAAGGAGGGCAAATCTCTTTCTTTCTCTTTTTCCCTACTTCCCACCCCTTTTTTTTCCAAGAGCTGTCTTTTCTCAGGTCCCAACGTTTAGCACTTGACCTCTCTGTGCATTTGTCTCCCTGCAAATCTCCCTGCAGAGAAGTTGAAGTTTGAGCAGTGTATTTTCCTAAAAGTGCTCTTGTTTGAAGAACAGCCTCCAAAATTTAACAGCTGGCCT